TGGTGGGCTTTTTCCAGCGCCATATTGTAACCATTTTCCAGAAATCCCACAGCATTAGACCCGTATTCCTCCTCAAACTCCCGGATGAACCTGGCAGCTGTATCCTGAGGTCCAAGAGGCCGACGTCCATAGTTCTGGCGTCGAGTACCCTGCAGAGCTGGGTTGGCGGTGGTATTAAGTAAGCGAGGCAGGAACGGGAATAAGCTGCTGAAGAGGCGGAATGAGGTACAAAGTAATCGATATATGAGGTTGAATGGAGTAAATAATAGTGCCAGCAAGAAAGGCGGTCGGTAAACAGAGTGGTCCTCGGACTGAGTGACGATCCGAGGAGCAGGTTCTGAAGCTCGAGCGGCCGGGGAGAATTGCGCGTTCAGGTCATCGTTCATGAGATTTCGGGTTTGACGGGTAGGCTGGGGCGGAGGCGGATTGTTCAAAGCAGCGCGAGCTTCTTCAACGGGGTCAGGTCCTTCCCCATCGAAGAACTTGGAGATTGCAATCTTTGCAGTGATTGATCAGCACCACTGTTCAGTCTCCGATACCCCCACGCTTAGGACATACCTGGACGTTCCATTGGGATCGGCGTAACAAAGGAATAGCTTCAGATGCTTCTTGGCTTGTCACGGCGATATAGGTCTCGAGAGCAGACTTTTCGCTGTCAGAAAGCTGCGAGATATCCAGCCCTGAAGAGGACATAGTTAATGAGAGTCGTGATCCATACAATGACTAGGTAATATGAATGTTCTCCAGGGAAGTAGTCAGTCGTATGCTATCGCGGTGTTTCAAATGGCGGGAGACCGCAATGTTGCACGAGCTCCCCAAGTTATCGAGCAATAGCTCTGGCAAAATGAACGAATTGAAGCCCAAGGTTCGATATCGATAGCTAAGAACAGCACAGTTGAAAGGAAACACTTTTCACCCAAGTGGTGGCTAGCTGTCCTCTTGGAAGCTCCGTCATCGCCGGGTTCGGGAACTTGGCGCCGGAGACGCGCGCTTCAAGCGGTTGTTGGCCCGTGCACCACCATTACGAGAGGCGGACTTGTCGAGTACTAATCAAGCCTCCCCTCCCCGCGGGCGCTTTCTCCCTCCAAGTTACCTTAACGGCCTGTGCCTTTTACGCGGCCATCCAGGGTGCGATATTGTCTCGATGCCTATCGTCTTTGCATAGTGGGCCATTGCCTAATATTGCTCGGTTGTATAGTCTCCGATCTGTTAGAGTGGAGAATTCCGCACCGATAGTCTGCCCTCTGCTTCTCACGAACCTGCCTGGCGTAATCCCCCTCGACGTTCAAGGAGATTCATTGCGGTCGAATATTTCTACCTTGGCATAGAGGAATGCGGTCTCCTCTCGATATATTCTATCGTCCAATTTTCTCATGTTATGATTCAATGGAGATCCCTTTGCGCTGATCCCCGCCAAATTGGATAAAGACATACCATGGCTTCTGCAGGGAAGCCTGCTTTGGACGATTCCCGACGCGGGACGGGGTCGCCTAAGATAAAGGCGAGAGGTCAGTTTGACTCGAGAAGGACCTTCGAACAGAGAGTCTCGTACATTGGAAGCCTCTTCGAAGTGACAATGGCCAAGTGTTATGCGACGCGAAATTGCTGACATCATATCTCCTCTGATTCTAGAAAATGCAAAGGACACTCTTTGTCGAAATATCACCATATACGGTCGTTGCCGGTATGAAGATAAAGGTGCTGCGCTTGCCCCGAGTCCATTTGCGCGTTCATAGAAACCATGAGCTTCATCTAACCTCGGCGTATCTTCGTGAAGGTTGCGCTTTCAACCATGACCCCCATAAGGTCAATTCGTCATATCAGTCGGACAGGTTGGGATCCCTTACATCGAACCCTCTGGCACCTCCTCTTCTGATAAGAGGATCAAATCGGCATTTGTAGACTGAGCGATAGCTTACATGGACGTGTTGGTAACAGCAGTAAAAAGCGCTTCAATGTCGACTCCCCCAGCTTCACACCCTCCCTCTTGTCGTCGAATGGATCATCTCCGACGAGCACACCAGCCACAACAAAGAAAATGACAACAATATCTCCAAAAGCTGCAAACGCAGCTCCGTTTCAACCTAGAAGTGTCGTTTCGCGTAAGGCTCAATCAGTCCTCTAGTCTCTAGGTGTTCTGCTAATGGGAGAAGGATCCAATGCCAGTACTCCTGGCTTGCGACAAGAGACAGTAACTCCTGACTGGACTGTAGCCGAAGTACAGGAGTTTGTTCCCCAGGGTTTTGACAATTCGCACCTGGTAAGTCGCGCCTTCCTTGGTTTTAAGTCGCGGGAGCAGAATCATATTCACTACTTGTCTGTCCGCCCACCCATCTCTCTTTGCCTCGCCTGTCCAGTTTCCTTTTCACCTCAATTCTCGCAATAGGGTCGTATTCAAAGAGCAAAAATCCTTTACCATTCATCCCCAATAATTGCGCATTAAGAAAATTGGCACATCACCTACCACAATTTACTTAGGATGGGGCATCCCTCCGCTGGCATCAGCTTGAATGCTCTTGCTGATGATTTTGACCCTAATCCCCTTCATATTCCTCCTGATTTTCCCTCCCCCTTTGGGCATCGCGCTGGACATTACACTCCCACTGAAGGCAGACCCATACCATCTGTGGAATCCTCTTGGCCTGGTACTAGAAGGCGAAAGCGCAGATCTGGTGTGCGTTTTCCAATCGCTAATCGCCCGTTTCAGGCTGCTCTTCAAGGAAATGGCAACGGCCCTATCACACCCACGAGCGCGTTTGATCCTTTCGTAACGTCTTCGACTCCGCTATCCGCAGGTGGAGCTGTTGGCCCCGTTCAGCCAAATCCATATTCTCATGACAGTGCAGCGGCACTCGGTGGTGCTGCTTTCTTCCCTGGCGCATCTGGCTTTCAACAACCTGTGAGTATCTCTGCTGTATCGGACGATTGCGCCTTTTCAATTAACTTCTTGTCGACAGGTCCAATACCATCTGTACGCTCCTATCGGCCCTCATAGCCAGAACACTCTGGGGTATCAGCGCAATGTCCACGATTTGTTCCTCCCTAATGACTTCCGCGAGGAGCTGCAGAAGAAAGCGGCAGCCACGCTGCAAACACTGCCTAGTATGTTGGTCTGAGTCCTCCAGTAATTCATCGATGCTAAACCAGTGCAGACACTCAATTACCAGCTCAGATTGACTACTTTCATTCTCTTGTGCCGCTGGACCTGAACCACCAGAAGAATGCAACTATCTTTGGCTTTCCGAGTTGGGTGTACAAAGCGCAATCCAGCAAAGATGGAAACTTTTACGCGCTCCGGAGACTAGAAGGTATGTATTCCGTCGTCATCCCTCATTCTATACCGGAAAGTCAAGGCTAAGTGTCTCTCCAGGGTTTCGGTTGACGAACGAGAAAGCGATTCGATCCGTCCAGGCTTGGAAGCGGGTGTGCAACGGTAGTGTGGTGACAGTCCACGATGCGTTCACCAGTAGAAGTTTTCAGGACAGCTCGCTGATCTTCGTTACCGACTACCATCCTCTTTCAAAGACGCTCGCCGAACAGCACCTTGGCGCCGGCCAACAAAGGTTTCAAGGTCGTCACAACGTGCACATTCCTGAACAGATTCTGTGGGGCTATATGACCCAGATTGCCAACGCATTGAAGGCCATCCATAGCAATGGTCTTGCAGCCAGAGTTATTGACGCAAGCAAGATCCTACTGACCGGCAAGAATCGCATTCGACTCAACGCCTGTGCGATCATGGATGTGGTCCAGTTCGACAGTCAGCGTACAGTTGCCGATCTTCAGCGTCAGKATCTGGTCAATTTCGGACAACTCATCGTCACGTTGGGTGCCAACTCACCGACGGTCATGCACAACCCTACGAAAGCTATGGAGCACTTTACACGTGCTTACAGTCCGCAGTTGAAGAACTCGGTATTTTGGTTGCTGAACGGCATGCAGAAAGATCAGGATCGAAATATTGACATTTTCATCACTGGTATATCTTCGCAGCTCATGTCCACTTTTGACTCGGCACTTCACTTGGATGATCAACTTACATCGGACCTGAGCCGAGAACTGGAAAATGGCCGTCTTGTGCGACTCATGACGAAGCTGAACCTCGTGAACGAACGGCCGGAATATGAGCATGACAGGCAATGGTCCGAGAATGGAGAGCGTTATTTCTTGAAAATATTCCGTGATTATGTCTTCCATCAGGTGGATGCGCAGGGCGACCCCGTCGTCGACCTGGGCCACGTGATCTCATGTTTGAACAAGCTGGATGCGGGAACAGAAGAAAAGATAACGTTGATCAGCCGGGACGAGCAGAGCTGCTTCATTGTCAGCTACAAGGAGCTGAAAAAGGCACTCGAATCTTCCTTCCAGGCGTTGATGAAACCCGCAAGAAGAATGCATTGAGCAACGCTGCTTTACCATGGGCTGCCTTTGGGGAGACTGTTCATTTTTGTGTTTGACGTCCACGAATATGTTCTCTTTTCAGACGGTGGGTTGCACGACGCTGTCCCTTGCATCCATTACGTCTCATCAGAATGCGGATGTCTGTATGAGTGATTGGATGAGAGGTGTGATGCCACCTTGCCATTCTGAGACTTACTCTCGGCCAATGTGTATTGGCAGGATGCGACAGTTTCGGATTTACAACCTTCGCTGGCTGCGCTAACAGGAATTCGCAGAGGTCGCTGTTGAGGAATTGTCCCGCAACCTATTGGTAGCAAATGACCATGACGTACTTGGAAGCTATTGGTGTGATTGATATACGAACGAGAATTCAAGTGAAACAGTTAGAAATATATTTGAAGTTACCTGGCTATAGAGAATGTCCTGCATACTACATCCGCCTCTCTGTGTCTTCGAATAGCAGTCTGGCTTTTAATATCACGGAAAATAGATAAAGAAAAGAGAGGGAACTGCAGCCTGATCACGCTAAAGGAAGGTATGATCATCAGATCATCGGCAACTATTGCTGACCAGAATCGACCGTCAGGAAATCCTGTGATTTACAGTTCAGTACCATGAGCCAACATGTCATGCATCACTTCGACCTCGCCCTCGTCTTCTTCCAACCAGTCTCCGAGACGGCTTTTAAGATCCTCAACAGTCAACTCATCATCATTGCCAGTCCATTCCGGCGCCGAATCATCGACTTTGCGAGGCGGGATCAAAACATGGTCGACAACATGCACATTGCCGTCCTTGGCCAACGCATCCGCAAAAGCCACCCGCTGGTAGCCATTGATCTTCAGCGATGCATACGGTCCAAACCGGGCGACATCGACAGCCAGCTTCCGGCCGTGCAGGAGGGTCGGCAGATCAAGATGCGTGAAGCCCTTTACACCAAACGGCTTGATCTCCCCTTTGGAGGTGTAGAAGACGTCCGAATATAGAGTTCTGTTCTGCACGATGTGGTACTGCAGCAGGGCGCGCAGGTACTTCTCGCCGGGAGGGGAGAACAGGAATGCATTGATCTTGAAGCCGAGGTGCTTGAAGGCTGAGTTGGAGGGGGCGAAGATGGTGCCGCCGTGGTGGTGGGGCGTGCTGGATTCGTTGAGGGCGGTTGCCAGGCCGGTCTTGTAGAGGCCTAGTGTGAAGGTGCTGAATTCGGTGGGGACGATGGTCAGAAGCGTGAGGGTATCTGGGGGTGGGATGAGGATGGCGTCAATGCCGTGGATGATGCCGTTTGTGGCGCCCTGTATATGTAGGTCAGTTACGTCCTCAGTTGGTATCCCTGAAAAGTGAGCTTACAATGTCTGCGGCTACGATGTGGCTGTAGTAGTTCAGCGTCAGGCCTCTCCATCCTACACGGACGGCCAGGCGCTGGGGCAGATCAGGGCCGAGAGTGGACTCGTTCAGGGTGGTTGGCACGGTGTGGCTGTGGAAGATATCTGAGGCCGAGTAGCGGCCTGGTGCGACGTGGTAGTGGAATATGGTCCGGATAACCTCCTTGGGGATCTTGGGGTGCTCATGGTCGTGGTCGTGGTCGTGATCACGGCCAGGACAGTGATGCGGGATCTTTGAGAAGGCCTCGTCGGTAGGAGCAAAGAAGGTATGGTTCGCCTTAGTGCTGTTCAAGAACTGGACCAGCTCGTCATCCTCGTCAACGATCTTGGCGAGGATGGTGGTATACTTGCTGGACTTGATCAGTTCGTAGATGGTTTTGTTGAAGGAGGGATGGTGAGGCGGGAAAGGCCGACGTGGGTGCAGGTACTGCGGCAATTGCTTGAGATCTTTGGGAAGATTCTCCGCGTCGGTGGGATGGTCGAAGAAATTCGTAATCCAGGAAGCAGCTTCAGAGGCGCCGGACTGCAGCCGTTGGGTGTTAAACGCATCGGAGGCGAGCTCAAGGGCCTCGTCTAGGGCATTTCTGAAGTCGGTCGCGGCGTCCTGGATGGAGGATTCAATGGAGGAGAGGAAGGATGTCGAGTCTTTGTTCACGCCATTTTTGTTCGTATCGAGCTCAGCAATGTCACTTAAGACCTGCTCATTTGGGATGACGATGGCGGCACAGAGCGGAAGCACTGGCCAGAGACGGTAGAGCTTCATATCGTCAGTGGATAACTTTTCTCTACAGAATCATATACACAGGTAGATAAAATATGATATAAAACCCGCAACTGTACTTACGAGTGCCACAGATCATATTTAAGGCAGCTCAAGCACATCATGACATATAGTATGATGACGAAGCCGATGGTGGAATCTCCGGAAGCGCTTACAGTGCATAGATCAATCAACCCAATCAAACAAGCAAGGGGCGATCGAAAAGATCAGCCAAACTTTCATTGAACAAGGATAATTCCATGAATATCCATGAATTCCCATGTCAATGACAGTCTTACCCAATCATTTCTAACCCCGAGGCAATCGTATTCGTACTTGAGCCTGGCCCAGTGGACCTAGATTAGCTTTGGGCTGTGGAGATTCCATGACGACAGGACAACGGCTATAGGAGCAATTAGGGTGATGGTTCTCTGCGCCAATAGGCTCTGGGCTTGTTGCATAATAACACCAATATAGCTTAAGATGAATAATAAGGAATGGTGAATTCACTCTAGTTTCAGTGAGATATAGACTCGTGGTTGACAGTCTGGATCATGCTAAGTGGATACTTACTATCCATGACGGCCTGGTATGCCATCAGACATCTGCCTAAAGCTAAGGCATAGTACTGATTATGGTGAGGATTCCGATATCTCCCTCTTGACTAGGCCACTCCCAGCAATAAGCATCAATTGAAAAGTACTTCCAGAAGAATATCTGTATGTTTCTTCCAGTGGCATACTATATGTGCTCCGCCAATGCTTGCAGCGGTGAAAGCCAAAAAGATCACCATCGGATACTAGACAGCCATGCCTCGTCGTCCAGGGATAATGCAAATTGGTAAAGTCAGCAGACACTCTCCACAGTGAGTTTTAATAAAGCCTTTCGACACTTTCGATAGGCAGAGATCCACATAGGACCTTATCAATTCAGTTTCTCGAACACAGATGTGGTCGGCCAAGATACTACGATTGGTCCATATGTCTGCCAAGCACGACAGAAATGTTGGCACGTTAATTAATGAGTTCAAAGTATTGTATATCTGTTACATGACATTGTATGCTGGATCAAAGACAGACGCAGAATATGCAGTCATTCATGAATCCCATATTTGCATGACTTGGGAAATCCATCTACCCGACACATGCACATCTTCATGCTGCAGAAGCCTTCGATGTATATGTGAAAGGGCGAGGGCTGGCTCTTTGATTTCTTTCACTGACTTGTCAAAGACAAATGACCTTCCAGGACGAGCTCTGGAGGACGAGAGACAAAGGAAAGTAGAATCGGAGCCGAGAGCGCGGGCGTCGTGTATCACAAGAGGTCCGCACTTTCTTCACGGAGAGCCTGACGAGACGACACAAGATGAGAAGGATCTTTCACTTTCTTAGAGAGCTGATACGTTCGCCTAATCTATTCTTCTTGCTGGACGAAGGGATTGGCGATCTCCTCGCTGCCGTCGGCCGGAGAAATCAACACAATCAGAGTGCCGCGGGCGACGATGAGACCAAGGGAGCGAGCAGTTTCATTTCCCTCGTCATCTAGATAGGGGACGTTAGGCACTTCACCCAACTTTGAGATGCTGTTCAGTCACTTACCACGCATGGTTTCCTTGACATCATCCAACACCAGGTTCATCAGCTGATCATAACCCTTGAGCATGCCGATAACTAGAATTGATCTTAGTTGGCAAGAAGAACAATCAGTTGGTGATAAACTTACCCTCTCGTCCTCCGTTAAACTTCACCTTCACCTCCTTGTCCATATACTTCGACAAATCAAGAATGTTCTCCTTCTTGGGCTTCTCCTGCTGCTGTTGCGCACCGCCACCTGCACCGCCACCCCTGTGCTGGGAGGAGTGAGCACCGCCACGACCGCCAGACCTGTCGTGACCTCCGCCGCGGCTACGACCACCCCGGAAAGAGCCTCGTTCGGACATGGCTTGGCTAGCCTGGATTGTCTGGTGATCTGATCTAAAGAATTTGTTTATTTAATTGGGTGTTGTTTTTTAATGGTTTGATTCTCGTCTGATCTGGCTTATTAATAAAATGTTAAAAAAAGGTTAAAAGAAGAGAGGGGATGGAGGTGGGACGGGGAGAAAGACACGCGCGGAAGAACATGAATGAGGGGATCTGGAATCGATGGATGGATTGAATTGGACGCGATGTGCTGGCAGGTTCAGAAAGAGGGGCGTGATCTGACCTTTCTGGGTAGTTTCAAACTGGCTGCCCTGGCTCTCTAAAGTGCAGGATGACCCGAAGGGGTAGAGTAGCACCAGTGAGGGGAGTCACCTGCAACTTACAGGCGAGATAACTGTGATAGGCGGAGGTTGAGTATGAGTAAGGTAGCTGTGAGTATGAGGGATTTTCGAAGAGGGGACGAGGGGTCAACAAAAATGGGCGGTGATAATAATAGGTTCACTATTGCCGTCTTCTACCCTAAGGCCGTGTCCAGATTGTGTAGCCCACACATATGGAGTACATAACTAATCACTGGTGGAAGCAAGAAAATTTTGGGCTAGTCACTTGACATTTTGCATTCTGGCGGTACGTATTGKCCTTTCCCCCTTGAGTAGTGACCTTACCCGAAGGAGCCTCTTTAGGTTCTCACAGCTGGTAATCTTACCTTAATATTCGTGTCGAACCAGCCCGTACCTCAAGAATACTCCTCCTGTATTCTGCGCTATACTGCTTTTGCTACCAGCAACACAGGTAGGAGGCAAGTGTCCGACATTTGTTGGATCAAAGTGTCAACCTTAGGCAACATTTTTATACGCAGAATTTGTATTACACCTACTGTATTGTTACATGAGACGGGCGGAGCGCAACTCCATTTCCCTTGGTCTCAGTAAGAGTCTCCTGCCTTTGAATGCGAGGCCTTAAAAGATATGATCAATAGACTTCGTGCTTCATGCTCTCAGTTGGGACACAAAGTATTGGTTTCCACTTTGCCCAGGACCACCTGAAAGGATGAGCCTACTCGTGAATGGACGTGTAGCGATAAATCGCTCTTGTCGCGTCATCCCAACAACGTGTCTGGCACTGCCAGGTCCGTTGATCCAGTCCGTCCGCAAGGGGTTCTGGCCAACTGAGGCCATCATCGGCTTCAAGAACTGCTAGTAGAGAGCTGTCCAATTACTGCAATGACGACTTTTGATTATCTGTACCATGTTACTCCTTCAAGTAAAGATTTTCCCGTCTTCTACTTTACAGAATGCTCTATGATCCTGCGTAATTCGGAGGAAATTCTGATGCCTAGGCTAGGTACCTACCTACTTAGGTAGTGCTGGGCTGTACGGTAATTACCCGTCTTTTCCGATTTCCCGAGCCACAGCGAATTGCCAGCGGAACAGGCCGGCGGGACTCCGCTCCCTGACGTTTGCAAAGAATCCAGCTCCCATCACAGTCAAATGGAAAGCATCAAAATGAGCCTGGACGACGCGCGAAACTTTCAGACTGTTGTCAGACTTCTGATTCTCTTCTTTCTTTTGCGTTCTCGCCAGTAGTTTGATTTGTTACTTAATATTCATCATCCCTGGTCTATAAGTCTGTCTACAAATGCTGCTCCGATCGCACCCATCTTTAGATGTGTGGCCTAAGGCAATGATTATCTAGTGTAGAAGGACTCCGAGGAGGTGTCCAGTTCCGCCATCCGCGCCATCACCACCCCCCCATGTTCGTTTCCCATCGTCATCAGGTATTTGTGGCCATTCAGATGGTCCAATAATAGCGCTCTTTCGTCCTTGTTCGCTCTTTCTGGCCGTCCATCCCATCCACCCTTCTTTGTCCAACCCGTGCCTGTTAGAAATATACTCCGAAGGCCCTCCTATCTATCCATGTACAGATGACAGTACTCCCGGCCGTACTCCGTATCTACCTACCAACTACCTAGCACCTAGCTATCTACCTGTCAGCTTGGATACCCGACAACCACTAATTGGCCTGTCACTGTGTCTCTGCCATCCCGTCCGCCTCTCCACCTCCTCGGCGTCTTCCTCTTCTTCTTCCTCTTCCTCCTCCTGTTGTCCTCTCCTCCCTCTCTCCCCCCGGATCTCTCTGGCCCCCTTTTATGTCCTAACATTTTTCTCCAAACGCTCATCTTAGCTGCTGTCGTTTTCTAATTCTTTTCTCCTGTCGTATCTGCTCCGTCTCTTTCTACGTCTTGCATACTCTCCGCCTTCTTTTCACCCACCCTTCATAACTCATTGTTTGTTGGGGTTCCCTATTACCTAACTCGAAAAGATTTCCTCGCAGCCCAGTGGCTACTTTGGAATCCGCAGCTGGAGCCTTATGCTCCGCCGTCGCTCACCATCGATCGCCATTTGACCTTTTTTTCCCTCATCGCCTAATTCTCTCCATCCCCGCAAGCGCTCGATTTTCTGATTTCGATTTTTCTTCCGCGATAGCACCAACTCCTCTCTAAACCTTTTCACCGTCTTTCTCATCATTTCACTTATCCTGCTCCCCTGGGTGTATCACTGGACCGCACACGTTGCAACGCTTCATGGAGTCCAGACCCCCAGCGGCGGCAGAGCCGTCGAACAAACGGCCCAGGTCGCCGTCCGGCGACTACCATCCGATTGCTTCCAAAGTACCTAAGAGCCATTCGAACCATCTCCAGATCAACTACCTCGCTCGTCAGTACCCGGACAATCTGCCTCTAGTCTCTCTCGATGATACTATGCCAGCTATTTTACACCTCGTCGGCGAATACGACGGCGTGCTTCATCGCCACGAAAGTATCGCGGGTAACCTCGGCGCATGTCCTCTGGGACCCATCTTGATCAAGCGTTTCGAGCGCCTGTTTGACGGCCCTCCTCGTGTACTCAAGTCGCACGGTAAAGAACCCCCTAACGTCACCTGGTTGGATGTCGTCGAATTTGCCAAGAGCAAGCCGGAACAGTTCAATCTGGAGAAGTCGCGCAATGGAGTGCGCGTCTGCCAGTTCTATACCAAGCAGTGTCGAGTTGAGATCAGCGAGGAAGACTATGTGCTTATTGCATC